GCAACAGGTAAATCAGAAACAAGTTCCTTTCTCGCAAGATAGTGTAATCCCGAGAAATGGAAATGCTCAAATCGCATATGCCATAACCAATTTTCATCACAAACTTCAGAATTAAAGCAAGCAAGGAGAGTATGCTTAATTTTCAAAGGAAATAGTCAATTTTGAGACATATTTACCTTTTCAACCAAAACTCCTTTAGCATATGCAATGGTACAACACCCCTGAGCAATATCTATCTTATATCCTTTTTTCTGACAACTGTCTGATACTCAACAAATTTTGGTGTAGTTCGGGAACATAGAACACATCGGATATAAAATTGTGAGTACCATCCTTCAACTGAATAGAGATTTTACCTTTTCCCAAAATGGGCACCTTTGACTTATTGCCAAATGTCACTTCAGACTGAATTGATTCATCTAGTTCGGAAAAAAAATTCTTTCTTCCCACATATATGGTTACTACACCCAGTATCCAAGAACCATATGTTCTTATCAGCAGAAAAACTATCGCTGGCCAAAAGTAAGGTTTCAGAATTCTCACTAGAATTTTTAGCTGTACTTTTAGCAATGTTTACTTGATTTCCACGATTGTTGTCCTCATTATACCAACAATCCGCAATCTTGTGCCCATACTTGCCACAATTGTAGCAATGAAATAGAAATTTAACTTGTTTGGTATTACCTCCACATCTTCCTTGGTTGGAGTTACCACGTCCTCCTCTTTGGTTGAAGTTACCACGACCTCTTCCACCAGATCCTCCTCTTCCTCTTCCACGGCCTCTACTAGATCCTCCACCTCTTTGATTAGTGCAGTCACGTTAAGGGTGACTTGACTATTCAAAGCTTCTTTAGCTAGTGGTTCCGATTTTGATGCAATTTTGTCAATATGACTTTCTACCATACCTTTCAGCTCTGCAATTGATAAGAGCTCAGTTTTGTGTGACTCTGTGATCGAAGCCACCACATGGTCATACTTCATCGGCATAGTTCGAAGAACTTTTTCAACCACTGCACCATCTTCAATCGTATCTCCATATAACCTCATCTTATTCACCATATCAATAAGACGAGTGAAATACGCATCTACTGTTTCTGTAGAGGTCATCGTAAAACCTTCTCAACGACTGTAACTTAGACTTCTGTGCCCGATCAACACCTTTGTTCGACACCTTTAAGATGTCCCAAGCTTGTTTTGCTATTTGAGCACGAGCTAATTGCCCAAAAATGGAGTAATGAACACCTTGGTGATCTGACCCAAAGCCTACTGATCTCGTCGTGTTTGGGCTGCATCAGCTCCTTCGAGTAGACCGGGATCAACAAAGCTCCAAAGATTTTGAGCTTTCAAATCTGAGGACATCATAATTTGCCAATAATTGTAATCGAGTTTCCCGTCCAATTTGGGACCCGACCATACAATATTGAAATTTGCAGCCATATTTCACTACGGGAAATACGCCATATTTCACTACGGGAAATATCTCGGGGTTCACTGACTCTAATACCAAATGTAAGATATATTAAATATAATATAGTTAATATAATATATATTAAATATAATATAATATATCTATAATATATATTAAATATATATTGAGAAGAGAGAGAGAGGAATAAATAAGTAATTTGATTGATGAATTAAAATGCTTGAAAGCCAAGTACTGCTCCCATTATTTCCACATAATGCTGCATCCATCCCATGTAATGCTCCCATTTGCTTTCTAGCAAACTAACTCTTCTTACTTGGTTTAACACAATAATATTATTATTATTATTATTATTATTATAACATTACTATATAATATTTAATGTTCTAATTTAAATAATTATATATCGATTCATATATTCTTAATATATTACAATAAATCCATTCCGTGCATCGCACGGGTGGAAATACTAGTTGAACAAAAGGAATAAAAGGGTGTGAGGGAGTAAGGGAGTGAGGGGAAAGAGGATTTACCAGCAACCTCCTAATCAGCATAAACTTATTGTTAACCTGCTAAAAATATCAATTGCACTTTTTTTTTAAAGATTTATAGATGAATTTGAAGTTTATTCGAATTCAATGACCTAGTTGTACCTTTTTCTCAAAAAATTTTTAAAAACCCAATTAAGATCCTACAGATTGACTTCATACATTCCCAGGCTCACTAATAAAGTCACACACTACTGGAAATTATGAAATTTCCGACCACCTGAAAGTAATCTTAAATCAAGTTGATACCAAAAAGGGGTCGGAAATAGCACAAAGGTTTTTCCGGATACCAAAAGTGGTCGGAACAAGGCTTTTGACTTGATTTAAGATCACTTTCAGGTGGTCGGAAATTTCATAATTTTCAGTAGTGACATTTGAAAGACATACGAGGAAGGTTCATTGTTCATTTTTGCAAGCATTTTTGCAGGTGAGGCAAGAGTGTCGGAGTGAACAAGCGGTATTCGTCTACGATTAAGAATTTAGTAATTAGGAGTTTGGATTTACTTCATCATCACTATTATTATTAAAAAATCAAACGGTATTTGGTTCGATTCAGTTTTTAACGTGACATATAAACACATTTACAATTATATTTCACAGAACTTCATCCTCATTAATTAAGGAGCAAATTAATTTCCATTCATAATTTCACAGCACTTTATGTACATGGATTACAAGAATGTACCAACGTCCAACCTCAATCCATATATATGATCAAAAGATGGAATTAGTTGATATTGAACTTGTTCAGGTCGGTCAAAATGCAGTCTGCCGCGACGCTGTGAACCGTCACCTGCTTACTCGAACATAGGCCGTCTCAGAACCATAACATTATTTGTTAAAGAACCCATGTTATTGGGGAATAGATTGATTGGCAAGAAAGGGTACAAATATATTATTAAAGAGTGTGCCCTTCCAAGCTAGATAATGTTTCCTCGACGTTGGCTTGACGAAAATGGAGTTGAGCAATGCATTATATAGATGGTCTTGGAGGGTATTGGGATAGAGATTACAACAACAATTTATTATTGGACGATTATTTAGGGATTATGTGTCATTCACCGCTTAAATAGCAATAAAATCATACGAATGGCTAATATAAGGTTGAGGATTACTTGAGCTTGCTTGCCTTTAAACACATTTCTTTTACGGTTCTAATTGTTTTGTATGATTATGCCACTTGAAAAGTTAGTATATAAAATAATGTACTTTCAGTACTCAAATAATGTTTTTTTAATAAATAATGTAATTTTAGCATATTAAAAATGTACTTTTTATTTATGGCCTACACAGTTGTATGGACCATGGTCCATGTAATAATGTTTGTGCACATGATGACTAGGATCTGACTAGTGGGTTGATTGCGCGATCTGGATTGGATCCCTTATGCGTACATGTGTTGGTCCCGATAGATTGTGTGGTGAGTCTAGAGGGGGGGGGGGGTGAATAGACTCTCGTTTTTCTTTAGTTTTTAAAAGAAAAACCCTGACAACACTTTTGAGTGAGATAAGCACATCGGAAAGATTATAAAGTGAGGGTTGCACGAGTTTGATAAAAAGTTAAGAGGAGTGATGAAATGGATGATATGCAAGCAGTAAAATAAAGCAGTAAGTAGAGAGAAGAGTGAGACGAGATTTTATAGTGGTTCGGCCAAACGTTGCCTACTTCCACTCTTCTTCCACAACTGCTGGAAGGATTGCACTATCACTCTTTAGTACAATTACACAAAGACTTCCTTGATCACTAAGCCGGACAGCCTTTGTAGGTTTTTCAACTCCGAGAGTTTACTCCGCCTCTATCAACTTCTTCTTCTAAGTTGAGGTTGGTAAGAAAGTATTTCTTGATTCCTCCAACTGTGAAGTCTTGATGGTGTGGGATGATTGCTTCAAGAGTGCAAGACTTCTTTCAAGATGTAGGGCAGTGATGGATGATCTACTTCAAATGCCTTAACACCTTGATTAACTGGTTCGCAAAAAGCTTTGAGATTGTTAACTTTTCAAGGACTTTTTGCAAGAGAGTGAGTAGAGTGATAATGAACCAGCACCTTCTTAGTTGATGAAGGTTGGTTTATATAGGTGATGAAAATTCATCCGTTGGAGGGAGATGAATTTTTCGAACCTTTTATCCGTTGGACAAGGACCATGGAGCCTCATGCATTTAATGCTCCATTAATGGGTTTGCACTATGTAGCCGTTGAAGGTATGGAGGACTTGATGGCTTTTGTCTTTTAGCTCCAGAGATAGTACAGCTTCATTAAATGCTCTTTGGAGAGCGTGTCCCATGAGTTGAGGTCCTTATTGTCCTAGGATGTTGTCAAATCAGACAGGTAGAACATTCTTCTTGTTGATGAGAAGAAGAATACTTGTTGGGATAGTCTTGAAAAGAACTGTCTTCTTAATGACAACTCCTTCTTTCATTGCTGTGAAGTCTTCTTTCGTCTTGATCAGCCTATCTTCTATTCATAACTCTTTTCGTGTATTTGTTCTAGCTTAACACGAATTACATATGAGTTATGGCAACTTTCGTCTAGAACGAAAGTAGCGATACAAGAGAAACGTAAGAGTTAGGGGTCTACTTTCTACATTACATTGGTATCATCAAAATCCTAATACAAGGTTCCTAACAATTTCCCCCTTTTGATGATGCCAAAACCTATACTCTTCTTATAAGGCTGAGAAAGTGCTCCTTAAGGATATTTCTATTAATAACACAGCCATTATCGAGAGTTTACAAGTATTTTCTACGAAGAAGCAGCAGGAATAAAGACAAGGACTTTTTAACTCAGACAAGTGACACGAGATGTGTGACAATGAGAGTTTCATAGATATTCAGATAAAATCATTACAAAAACTCTGTCAAAAGAAATCAAAACAAAGGATAACTTACATTTCTAAAAGATTCAACCTTTGCTGAGCTTCCTTCTTTCTTTCTTGATTGTCCTTCTCTTTCTGTCTTCTTTGTGTTCTCTCGTAGTCTATCTTCTCGTTGATTCTTGCTCTGAAAGTCCTGATTGGATTGTTTCTGACGAGCTCTTCATATCCTCCTTTGATGTTTAGACTCATGTAATTGTTGTAGGCTTCTCGAATGTTGTTGCCTTCCACTATTCCAGACTTCCACCAGGAGATCAGTTCAAACGAATTCATTCCTTCTTGATAGCTCTTGCTTGACTCTTTATGCACTTTGAAAGCTGCATTGTGCATGACATATTGAGGAGAGTCTTTGGTTACATTTGATAGATCTTCGATGAGATTCTTAATCCTTTCTCTTTCTCTAGCTTCATCATCTCTTCTCCTGATCTCTTCATCGTGTTTTTCCCACAACTCCTTGTTTTGTCTTTTAATCCTTTCGTTCTGAGTGCTCATGTAGTTTTTCCTTGTGTGGTTGTCTTTCTTCTTCAACCATATGGGATTGTTGCAACCTTCAAATCTCTTACCGCTTCCTTCTTCGTATGGGACATAGTCCACGAAGTTTCCAATGCCATCCATGGTGACTGAGGTATTTTTCATGAGCCTTTGTCTTAGTTTTACTTGATCTCTTCTTGACAGTCCTGTGAAGAAATATTTGGCTTCAGAGCCGAAAGATTGTCGAGCCTCGCTGTCTTGAGTGCGACCATGGCGTCTTTGATCATGGGACTGTCCACGAGACTTAGGAGGTGGATGAGTGGGATTTTTGTGACCCGAGACTTTGTGAGGAGAGACTCGCTTTTCCGAAGATCTTTCTTTCGTGTTATCCCTTCTTGGTTGGTTGTCATCATCCTTATCTCTGTCATCATTCCTATTTTCCCCCTTTTTGGCATCATCAGCGCAGGCAGTAGGAGGTACAGAGGGGATTTGGCTGATTGCAAGCAGGATGTCTTGAGCATATCCCAGAATTTGAAGAGCATATTCACCAAGTTGATAGGAATTGTCTTGATAAGTGTCAATCTTGGTACAAGCTAGGTCAACACGTTCCTTGAGGCCATAATGAGAATGCTTAATCTCGTGTTGCTGCCTAGCGACTTTGTTTGAACTCTCTTCAAGATCAGAAACTCTTTTCACTAATTGCTTAAGAGTTTTGTCGTGAGGAAGATTCGGTTGCTGTGGTTGAGATTGTACATCAAGGAGTAGATTGACTTTTTGACACAGGTCATTCAATACTCTCGTGTCCTTCTCCCTTAGGGCGAGATATTGCTTGTGAATCAGTTCAGCTGAATGAACAGTTTCTCGCATGAGGTTCATAATGGTCCGTGGGGACTCAGCGATAGAATCGTCCTCAATGTGTGTTGGAGAAGAGTTCCTGTGTTCATCATGATGTGGTGCTTCCAGATTTTCACCATGCATCGAGTGGCCATGTTCAGGTGAGGCTTCCTTTCTGTCCTCATGAGCTGGAAGATTATGTTGTTGTTGTACAGATTCGTCCAGATGCGGAATGATAGCACGAGACGAGTGAACTGGATTTTTACTGGTTGCTTCATCCGAGTCTTCGTCTTCAGATGGTATTTTCAAGAGAGGTGGTCTTTGTGGACAGTTAGCATAGTCCGTTTCGACCAAGATAGTGTGGCTATCTTCTGGTTCTTCTTCTTCAGCACCTTCTCCTCCTTGTTGATTATTGTTATCATCATTATCATCATCATCAGTATCATCAGTACCACTGTTGTCGTCTTCTGTTTCATCATCATTGTTCTCGTTTTCATTTTCTTCTTCATCCTCTTCTTCGATTTCGTTGCCATGAACATCTTTCGTTCCACTAGCACTGCCTTTGGGATCTCTAGGATGATCTTCTGCCATTTTGGCTTTAATTTTGGATAGCAGCATGATGTAGCGAAGTTGTTTCAATTCGGCTTCAGTCATTGGATCCATGGGAGGTTTATGAAGAGGAATTACCAAGGGAGCTTTGTCCTTCCCGAGAGATCGATGAGTTATTCTATAAGAGTACACTCGGTGGATCTCCTCAATTCGCACAGCCTTTGTGACGTCCTGAGTTTCAAGCCATTGAAGTGCGAATTCTTCTTCGTCGATCATGGCTTCAAAAGTTTCGAGAAAGGTTCTGAGAGGTGCCGTGCGCCACTTGTGCCATTGTAGAACTCGATTGTAATCTCTTTCAATCGATTCTCTGAGAGATTTATCGAGGGTGTACCGGTCTGGAGAAGATTGACGAGCAGATGGTTTCGGGACAAATGATGTTTGAGCAGCTGTCATCTCGTCTACTAGTGCAGGTTCTTGTGTCAGAATTACCTGCTCTGCAATAGTAGGTTCTTGTGGAAGAGATTGAGCATCATTTGGAGCATGAGAGGCTGCTTTCGGGATGTCTTCTGGAGAGCCCGGCTCTTGTGGAAGATTTTGACATCTTTCCTTCATTTCTACAGTAGCAGGTTCTTGTGTCAACTCTCGTAGGAGTTGCTCTACTAAGGTAGGTTCTTGTGGATGAGGAACAGGAGATGCATTCGGATTGATGGATTTGTGAGCAACGGGACTTCTTTCGGGCAGAGAAGTTTTCAGTTCCCCCTCAGAGGTAGCTACTTTCGGGATGTCTTCCCCCTGTGATGTTGCTCCTTTTGATAAGGGTTCCCGGTTTTGAGCAGGTCTCATTCGACTTCGTTTGCTTAGACGAGTGAGAGGTTGATCATCATCATCTTCAGAGGAGTTCTGCACGATCAAAGTTTCTAGAGGAGGATCACCTTTCGTCTTTGGTTGGGAGATGACCGTCTTTTGAGTCTTAACCCGAGAAGAGGGTTTTTCTTGTTTCTGCCGTTTTGGTTTTGGTTGAGCTTCTTCGTCTGCTTTGGGGGTTTTTAACTTTCGTTTGGACTTCCCTTTGGGTAGGTTGGGTTCAAGAGGAATGCCCAATTCCAACGCCTTCTGTTTGTCATATCCAGATGGTTTTTGCTTCATGTGACAGACCTTTTGACCAGGTGGAGCACCAGCACGTAGAATCACTCCTTTTGTGGCAAGAAGATGGCTTATAATGAAACCGAAGCCCATCTTCTTTGTAATGTCACCAGGACTCCTGCGATGGTATGTGATGGTGTGGGCGATGTTGTTGAATACTATTTTGGACCAATCAACCTTATGCTCATGAAGGAAAGCGTGCAGCATTTTCAGCTTTTCCCTTGTGACATCATCTGCGCCAGAAGTCTTGTGGTCCACAATCTTGTTGAAGATGTCTACTGCAAACTCATGATCCAACCGGAACCATTTTTTCTTGAGGGGCCAGGAAATTTCATCTTTGGAAGGGGCCTCCTTGTGTCGTATGGATTCATAGAAATCCTCCGGATCTAGATGATAATATATCAGGTTGGATTTGTAGGACTCATCTCATCTGGGAAACCCAAAAGTTGATCGAATATCCTCAGCAGTAAACACAATGTGATGTTTATTAACTCTTGAAGTTATGCTCGAGAAATCAGAAGCCACATACGCATTCAAATAAAACTGAGTAACGTCAAGAGGGTACCATTCATCATAGGGTTGAGTTATCAAACCATATAAAGCTGTTTCTAACAAAAGAGCGATTATCCGTTCTCCAAAGGCTTTATCCAAGACATACTTACGAAACCCTTCTTCGTCCCACATGCTTCCTCCTACTATAAATGGAATTCTGGACTTGATAAACTCTATATCTTCCGTGGGAAAACTTGGTATTACTGGAGTGGATGAGGGTTCAGGGTTCTCTAGGTTCTTTTCGGAAGGAGCCGCCATTGATGATAGAGAGCTTGACTATAGAGAGCTTTGAGAGGAAGGGATGTATTTTGAGAGTTGTAGAACAGACGGAATGAAAGTTTGAGCAGGGTTTATAAAGCTCTGGGTTGGTGTCTTTAAATCAGCCCATTAAGAAAACTTATTCGAATTTCGAAAAAGAACTCAGCGGTTCCTCTTCCTCAAGAGGTAACTGATCATCATGGATATGTCATAAGAACGTGTGCAGATCTGAAACGATCATTCCCTCATTTAATGAGGAGAGAGAAAAGCACTCAAGTGCTGAGAGGTGCATTAAATGCACGTCTTTGTCCTGTCAGACTAGTGGGATAGTGGCGATTTTCTCGGCCGTATGATCCCAATAACACTTTATGAACGGTTTAGATTCAAAAAGGAATAGCGTCTTAAGTACGATTCAAAAACCCGAATGTTGTTCAGAATTTCATAAGACGCACATAATGTTGCCCGAGAGATTCATGATAAACAATCAACATTATCACCCGAAAGATTGGTAACTGATCAGTCTTCAAGATTCGTTTAGATGAATCATGAGATCATTTCATGATATCTCCTTTAGGAAATATTTTTCTCACTATTTTGTTCAAGGTGGTCAAATCCTTGAACGAAATTATTTCTTGGGATTTTTGAGAAGAAAAAAAAAGTAAGTTTCGGTCAGAACAAACTTTTAAGGCTGTCAACAAGGTTACACAGATAAAACATGACATCTTATTAGCACATAGATAGGCAAGCTTTTATTCAACAATCGAGAAGAGAAGATACAGAAACATAGATGATGATTTTCAGAAAATCACTTTTTCTTCCTCTCAACCTTCTTGGATGAAGAGCATTCAGGCTTATCTTTCTTCATCCTTCCAAACATTTCCCTATACCATCTTTTATAGCGCGAAAAGTTGGAACCAGTAGAGGACTCAGCTTCATCATCTTTGCCATACTTCTCTTCCAGATTTTCTTGTGCCAGAAAGGCCATGTAGTCCTTGTCAATCCATTCTTTTGGGATTGTCTCACTTGGATCTTTTGAGATCTTTTCTTCATTCTCTGATTCAACAATGAATCCAGCCATATCATCGTATTGAAACGATGAGTCTGAATCAGAGACGAGATTGATAGGAACATTAGGACTATTGCCTGGGTATAAGTCACCTTGCTCCTCCCTGAGGCGCCTAGCGGCCTCTTGGAACTTGCGAGAGCCTTTTCTTAGGTGCCATTGAGAGAGAGGAGATAGTGAGAGTTGTGAGAAATTCTCTCCCTTTTTATAGCCAAGGATTGAAGGGCTTATCAGAAAGTTTATCAACATAGCAATCAATGCTCATTAATGTGGTCAAGAGAATGCTGATTTCAGTTGAGACTAAAATTTTGATTCTCTGTAAGGCTTGAGTTCCAACGTGCTTAGCATTCAATAAATTCATAATGAATTTTTGTACTCTTTTTGACCAGATATAACTTGTACTCAATGCACTCAATAGTAATCCTTCCTGTAATCCAAAATCATAAAAAAAGGTATGCAATGCATTTATTTGGATAACACAACCATCATGACATACAGGATAGAAAGAGAGAGAGACTTAAACATAAAAAACTCAACCTACTACGGTTCAAAGGAAACGATAGGGGACGTGAAGTTCTATTCGGGTCATCTCATCAGTCACATCAGCCAGATTTGTTGTTTTGGCGTATTCATCCAACTCTTCTAGAGAGAGAGTGGGTTCGGGTGGCTGATCTGTGAACCGAGAGTGGACCCTTGAGAAATCCTCATAGGATTGAACATTGGGTGGAGGAACTTCAGGAATGGGATACCATCGAAAGGTTGGTGTCGACGAAGAGTCCTTGTTGGATCTCTTCAGCATCATGATTCTCTCATGGGCAAGCCGTCTGGCTTGTTCCAGATGATACTCCTTTTTGGCCCTAGATTCGTCGACAAGAGTGTCAAGAACCTCTTTTTCCTTTTCAGAGTAGGTGTTAGGCATTGAGTAGATTACGTTGATCATCTCTCCTTCTTCTTTCAAGCTTATGATGGTGGCATTAGGGAGCTTGCTTGCTTCCTGTATGTGATGCTTCAGACGAGTAGCCCTTTTTTCTGCTTCGTCCATTTTTCCTTTCCCTTTGTTCATACTGCAATCCTTTTTCTTAGAAAGAAGTGAGTGTGTCTTATGCATGGCGAAACTCTTTTATAGGCAAATAAGTGTCGTGGAGATCTATACAAAATCTTTTGGATACTGACACTTTCTTGCGTGAGAGACACGAAAACAAAGAGACACGAAAGGATAAGGTGATTCATTATAAAGCATGGTGGAATAACATCACATATTAAGAAAAGGACAAAGTTATTTAGATCTTCCTTTTCTTGCTGCTGGCGGTGGATTTGAGTGGTGAGGGCATCTTAGGAGGGGTGCTGGACGGTGAATAGTCGAAACTGTCGCTTTTGTCCAGCACACTGTTTTCTTTGGCATATCCAATAGAATTGCCTGCAGAAGGAAACAGCTCTTTTGACTCTTTGTCTGTTGGAGCCCGAAGAAGACTCTGAATATGTTGAGAGCGTTCCATGAACTTGTTCATTTCCTCCTGGGTGATGAGTTTGTCAATTAAAGATCTCACTTTTTTCACTTTTTCCACCTTGATTCTCAGTGTTGGATCTTTCACTACCTGTACTCATACCTGCAAGAACAAACACTAGAACTTTTGTTAGTGATGTATGCACAAACAATTAGTATACCTTATTTATAAGGATACTTGCGTGTAAGGATGGATCAAATCTTGCGAGAATCAAGGATACGAATCTTTACAGATTTGATTCTCTGAATTTTAGGTCATTTAAATCATTCCGATCTCATGCCTTAATAGAGAGAATCTTGTCTCACTCAGAGGTTTAGTGAGTATATCTGCCAGTTGATCATCGGTATTGACATATTCGAGAGAAATATCTTTCTTCTCAACATGATCACGAATAAAATGATACTTGATATCAATGTGCTTGGTCCGAGAGTGTAGAACCGGATTGTGTGTGATTGCTATAGCACTTGTATTATCGCACTTAATGCTCACTTCTTGGGCATTTATCCCATAGTCTCTTAATTGATGTCTCATCCATAAGATTTGAGCACAACAACTTCCAGCTGCTATGTATTCGGCCTCAGCCGTACTAGTAGCAATGGAATGTTGTTTCTTGCTAAACCAAGACACAATTCTTCCTCCTAGGAACTGACATGTTCCTGAGGTACTTTTTCCGATCAATTCGACAACCTGCGAAGTCTGCATCTGAGTATCCGATTAGATCAAATGATCCTTCTTTCGGATACCAGAGACCGACACTTTGTGTGCGCTTAAGATATCGTAATATCTTTTTAGTTTCACTTAGGTGACTTTCTTTCGGTTTAGCCTGAAAGCAAGCGCATACACCAACAGCAAATGAGATGTCAGGTCTGCTTGCTGTTAGGTATAGAAGAGAGCCAATAATACCACGAAAATTTTTTTGATCAACTTCCTTTCCTTCATTGTCAATGTCCATCCTAAGGGATGTACTCATAGGTATTTTGACGGAACTTTTTCCATCAATGCCAAATTTTCGGATCAGATCTTTTGTGTATTTGGCTTGGTTTATAAATATCCCATCAGGACATTGTTTAACTTGTAAGCCCAGAAATAATTCAGTTCTCCCATCATACTCATTTCAAATTTTCCTTTCATGAGATTAGAGAATTTTTCACATAGATCTGGATTCGTGCTTCGAAGATAATGTCGTCGACATATATTTGTACAAGTAGGATATGATCATTATCC